CAAATGACATACTTGGACTCATCCCCCCCTCCCCGCCCCAAATGCACTCCACTATGCAACCTTATTTAGCAACTGCTATTCATTGTTCATAGGGAGCTCTGGTGTCCTAGTGGTCAGAAGCATGCTGCAATCCCAAAGGGACAGCCTCTGTATGGTCAACCACAACACAACAGCACAACATTATAAAAAGGAGCTGCAATACCATTAATATTGACTAAATATTTAAAAACAAAACAAAATGACTTACACCCTGCCTTAAATGTATGCTAATTCACTATTCTTTTAAAAGCAGTGTATTAATATGGGTATGAAGAAGATGTGACATTAATCTGAAATTATTTATATTAACACATTTCCAAACCTTTGTCAAATTTACAAATAATACTTAAGGTATAAGGCACTTAAAAGTGTTTCAACATGTCCCAAAAATTTTCAGCAAAGATAGTTCCATTATCTACCCTATTTTTTTGCAAAGAAATTTAAAAAATAAATCATATTTCTTTTTCAACATTGCTTACAGCTGTATAAAAAAATTCATCAGCAGCTATCTCTCTAAATGATAAAAATTCAGTTAGAAAGAAAAGTAAGTTAAAATTTTGCCCAGTATAATATTACTTTTGATAAATATGAAATTCCTATATTGATACTGAAATAAAAATATTATCTCATCTCAATATTTATTACTTCTTAGAGCACTTTATTAAAGAAAAGTTGTACAGAAAAGCACAGGAATTTTTCATTTACCTCCTGTCTCTCTCTCTAAATGATTATTTGTCCTTTTTGGCATTAGTGTGGTATATTTCTTATAGTTCATGAACCAATATTGATACATTACTCTCATTACCAATTTTGTAGAATTCAAAGTTTTTGAAAACTCTGGTTGGGAACCATTATACCCTCATACAATTAAGTGTCAATCAGAATACTGAAATAAGCTGCTTATAAGACTGCTAGAAAAGTTATAAAATTGAGTTATGATATTGATTGAAGCTTTCTCCACAGTCAGCTGGATCAGCTATGAGGGTGAACTTTCAAAGTAGTTAAGTCCCTCGACAATACAGTCACTTTGCAATATGATACATAGAGGGACAAATTATTACAGAGTCCCTCAACTTAGAGTGGGGTTTGATCACTGTCATAAGGAGGTTCTGATACAAGTCATTTATTTGTTCTAACTTTCAATATTACTGCATTTTATTATCAGTAGAATTCCAAATGCGGTGTTTGTTTCTGAGGGTTTGAAATATGGCACAACTTACAAATATATTTTTATAAATATGAAGTATAATAAGATCAGCAAAAGATAAAAATAACCAAATGTGGATCAACTTTTCTATATATAGAAAACATCAAGTTGCACAATTCATTGCTTTTAAAATAGCATATATTTTTATTCATTTCCTAGAATAGGATCTTTCTTAATTTTTTTTCAAAAGAACTAATTTTCAAATAAGGTACTTTATTTGCTATTGTGATTCCCTCTATTTATCATTGTAAAAATATCTGACATATTTTTGTGTTATTACTAGAATATTTAATAATTAAATGATATAAATACCCTAGAGAATCTGAAATTATTTTTACATTTCACTTTCTCTGGCTCATTTCTTTGACTAAGCTTTCCTTATTTGGGATCTATGAATAAGGTCAATTCAGAGCTGTACTTCTAAGTTATTTTACTAACATTATCAGTTACAATACACATGGAAGCTCACAAAGATAAAATATTTAACTATTCTCTAATTTAATCATTTGTTATATTCTATAATTACTATGACTTTAAAATCAGCACTTAGTGATTTTAATAAAGAATTTTTTTCTTTCTGTTCCCTCCAAATATCTACTCAAAATAACTTCCATCAAATTAGAATATGAAATTCTGTTTCAAATGATACTCACTTTTTTCTCCTTATTATATTTGGCAAATATCTCTTGGGCTCGCTCTTCTCCTCCGTCCGTAAATAACATGATGATTTTATTGCAGTTGGCTCTAGAAACATTATACTGTTAAAAAAAAGAAAAACAACCCAATATTATATATATTTACAATAAAAAAGAAGTGCTATGAATATAGCATGAACAAATGAGAAGCAATGAATAAACTACCTGCTCGGTGATTGCATTCTAGGAACTCCCAGAACTCTAGATCCCAGAACTGTGCTTTAAATTGCAAGCTACCTGCAAGAGTTTACTTGTATTCTCAACATTTCCTCTGATATACAGTATATATTCTCTTTGATTTGTCTTGGTTTTCCTCTGTTGTTGTTGTTGTTATTGTTGTTAAGTGCCGTCGAGTCACAGGTGACTCATAGCAACCCTATGAACGGAAGTCCTGGACACCTCCTGTATGTATAACTTTCTTCATTCTCCAGGTTCATAGGGTTTCCAGAGGCAAGCTTCTGTGGAAGTGGATGCCACTCCTGCTTCCAAGCTTGTTTTCATCGGGGAGCTTCACCAAACACTGTCCTCCATGGGTAACAGTATTCTGCTTCACAGCAACAGTGAGTTACCTCTGCCTTGGGAGGTTTCTCCTTATAAAATGTAAATTTCACAAGGGACACTAAATTTTGTCTGGATATACAGTGCTTTTGTCCTGCCCAGAAAGGTGACTAGCATATTAATTCAAAAGTTAACTAAGAAATTTTAAAACCAATGATCATTTTATTAATTTTATGTCTAGATTATTTTATCAAAAAATGAAAAGAATTACAGTAAATAAATGAAAATATCCTTATTATATATTCTTATTAGATAATTGCCCTTTTATTTTCCCTAATGACATTGAAGCTCACACTTTTCCTGAATCTTTCACATTTATTTAACTCATTTCTTCATCTCTATTACCTACTGTGCATTCTGAGAACTGCAAGCTTCTTGTTGACTTCCTAACACAAATACCTCTCTTTGAAAATGCTGATATCTATTTCCCGGATATACTCTATTTTCTTGTTCAAGTTAATTTATCTCATCCTCTAGAATACTACTACAGTTATGTATTACAGAAATGAGATTATAATGCAAAACTTAAGATTATTTTTCTTTTTACTCTTGAATGTTATACTTTCATTGAAGTCTGCTCAAACTTGATTCACATTCTCCTTCTGAAAGGCACAGTTCTAACTATCTTTTAAACTTTTTCCAGTTATTCAAACATTTGAACAAGGGAAAACAATGGATTAACATTACAATTAATAATAAAACTAGAAAGCTGGACTACGTTAGAAGAAGTATGGTGGTACATACTATCTAAGTCAGCAGTTCAAACCTTCCAGCAGCTCCATCAGAGAAACATGGGCATTCTTCCTCCATAAGGATTGACACACCTGCAAAATCTATGGTGGCAGTTCTAGTCCATCCTATTGGATTGCTATGAGTCAAAACTGACTCCATTGCAGGGGGAGCTTTTTGGGAGAAGAGGTGGTTGTTGTTGTTGTTATATACACAGTATCTCTGAACCTTGCCTTATCCTGAACGCATCTCATTGTCTACAACACGCCTCGCTCACTCCAGTTACTATGTCAATCCATCTCATCTAGGGTCTTTCTCTTCTACGTTGTCCCTCTACCCTTCCAAGCATGATGTCCTTTTCCAAGATTAGTACCTCCTAACAATCTAGTTTTCTCCAGTTGTAAAATGTGTTTGGAAAGAAAGTATGTTCTTATCTCTGCAATAAGCTTTCTGAAATTGGACTATGATGAAAACTACATGTTTTGTCATCGAAATGCTTCTGTGAAAAATATTTGTAATTCCTTAACTAAAGTTAATTTATATTCCCCCTCGTCCCCTCAGTTGAGTACAATTTATTTTTGATCAAAATTTCATTTGTAGGTTGCATATGTGATCTAAGATATTATTCTAAAAGTACAATTTATAAGAATATTATAATACCTTAAAGGCATAAAATATACATCAATGTTGAGGGAGACAGGCCTGATATTTGGGGAAATTATTTTAAAATGAAGAGGTTAAATGCATAAAGGAAGTGTGGAAAGTAAAATGTATGAAATTTATTTGGGACACAATTACAAAAATAATTTACTGACACACCCCTGC